ATGTGCATTGTTGTTGTTATCCTTGTTTAAGGTATTATAACCTCACGTTCTATCTGATTCTATGAAACAAAATGAATTTTTAAGCTTATATGACCCTTTCACTTTTCATGTAATATGCACAGCACGCGAACGGTAAATCAAACATAAACTAACCGGTCGCACGCTAATACTTATTACCCAATGTACTTAGTTTTCAAGGCTAATTATCTAAGTAATTTTGTCCGCGATCTTGGTAATACCTCGTATGAGCAAAATATACGGATTCTAACTTAGAACGCATCTGATCGAAAATATGTTTTCTATTGTATCCCACTATCATTGTGTTGAAGAATTTTATTACTCGGGTGCTATTGTTTCTGTTTTATAATGTGAACCGTGAACATTCATACCGAATTAAAATTCTTTATATAAGTTGTTTTCCCATACCGATCAGACAAGATGTCATTGGAGTGATCTTGGAAAACGTAAAATAAAAATATTTTAATAACTGTCAGTCGGTATAATGAATAATTCAGAGGATTCCGCTGTCTCAGAACAAAGATCAGAAAACTGAGTGACTTTCGAATAATAAAAACTAATTGTAAGCCGTTCCCACCGAGATGCGATCGTTGCTAATTATAAAGTTGTATACGTACTTCAGAAAGAAATCTTAGGCTTTCATTGTGTAAATACTGCGACAGCACATGGAAAATGAAATGTATAAATTTAAAAAGAATTTTTAAGGTTATTTATTAATATCGGTTACATACGTTATGAATAACAGCAGTACAAAGGTTGTTTATAAGTTTGATACAATGAAAAGTATAAAGAGACTTTTGTTGAAAAGAAGTAAATTTAAAAGAAATTAAGATAAGTCCTAAGCAGTTGATTCTATTTGTATACATATAATTACTCATGCACAATCTCTTTCAAAATTAACTGATTCTAATGACCGTCTTTTGTCAATTATTATTTTTGTATGGTTTAACAATTCCCGCCATTTGCATCGAAATAACTCGGCACATTCTTCTTGGTACGCCACTTGATTTTCGGTCCACTTCATGCACACTCGATGGCGCCAGGTGAAAAGAAAGAGAAAAGACGAACAATATTTACAAACGAGATGTCATGTTACACGAGCCCCAGTAGTAGACGTCGTAAAAATACAGAAACAGAAATTTTCATGTGTATGTACGTATATACAAGATAGTCTAGCTTCGATGTAACATTTATTTCGTATTAGTTTAGACGCATAGACGCATTTCATATTCCATTAAAAAATCTGAGCATTTTATCAATGAGAAATTTAATAAGGAATAGGTATTACGCAACAATGAAACAGCAAGTATTATTACGTTCTCGTATTGCACATAATAGGCTACCCTGCAGGGGCCCCGATAAGTACGGTCATGTAGCCGATTGTCCGTTCAGTCTGTCCTCTGCGTTTCCTGTACAGCGCATGTTGACGTCACGAATATACGAGCGCTCGTAGCGGCAAACGACTCAAGTTTTAGGCGGGGAAAATCTGCGTATTGACAGTTTAATATGTTAATACCCAAAAATCTCGGAAACGGCTGTACCACGACAATTCCCATTGAAATGGTGTTAAGTTTATAGATGTAGAACTTTCCCTGCGTGGCCCTTTTTTCGATTTTCGTCCGTGGTTCTGTGCAATAGTGCGATAAGTGTGAGACAGGGTACGGCAAAGGTCTTGTTGGGTCGCCATGACAGGTCCGTAGGCTGTCAGTCTCAATTTTCACCTACATTTTATATGTCTCCTAAGCAATAATTCAAAAATCCGGCTCCGCAGGGAAAGTTACTTTATCGGAAGGCTTCACGTTTATGTCATCAATTTATTGGTAGTGCTTTCTGTACAGAGATTTTTGGGTGCGAAGTTTCCTCGCTTCGAGCTCTCGTACGTATGACACACGCACACATAGAATCGTCTGTCCATTCCGCCTCAAGTCAAGTGTCAGCCAGTGGAATTTTATGTTGTAACGCCTGAGCTACGACTTTCAGGATTGAATATAACTGCAGCCTTTCGTAAGCATTGCGTTATACATATAGATACTTCAGGAGGTCGGGTGATCACGTCAAAACACAAATTATAATCATCAACAGGGAAAAGCCACTTTTAAAGACAATCTTATATGTTGACAAGAGCCCGATAAGTCCAAATAGAGAATAGGTAAAAAAAACCTGTTCAATCCCCATCGAAAGAGGAAACCTAACTAACAATAATTAAACTGAAGGGTTGTAAACTCGAACAATAAACAATTGTCTTACGAATACAATGGTGCGAAGCGTTGTGATTCGCTATGAACGTAAGAAAATGACAACCGCCTTTACCCACGAAGTACGAAACATCCGTTTCGCATATGCGTGCGAAAATAGGCGAAGGACCCGTTGAGTTCCGATCTTCATAATACGATGAGTTCATAACGTAGTGAGTCTGATAAAATTAATACATAATATATCTACCAATTTGTTAACATCGATATACTACAGTGCTATGTCAATGATCAATGATTATTCTTCTAGAAATAATCGTCAGGATGAACACGTAGAGGAATCGAATCGAAACAAGCCGAGGAAACCCGAGTGAAGCCGAATCTCACCTTGGCTGCGAATACAAATTGCAAGATGTGCTAATCGCTGATGAGTACTGATGAGCTTCCCTCTCACCTTTTGACGACGAGGAAAGACTTTGTCTCAACTGATGTGAATGCGATCTCAAGGCTGATCTCAATTCTTTTGGAATGCGTCAAATTAGCGCATTCGTTAATTTGAATCTGATCGTTTAGCAAATTGAGATCCTTGACCTCAGACATTCACTACGCTCGCAATGTGATCACTGACCACAAAGAATATATGGTAATATTTGGTTGAGATCATCTTTTCAGTTTGATAACTAAGGTTAAATAGAATTTTGAAACAAGATTATGTTTGGAATCTTTTAGCAATTAACATAATATAGTCGTTAATCAGATAATCAAGGATGTTCTTTTTGGTACATTTTTGACATACCTTATTGAATTTCGGTGACATTTAGATTATCGTAAATAAAGTTTGCGAGAAGGTGAATTCTATAACGTTTTTACTTGATTAGAATAAAAATAAGGCGATACGAGATTTAAGGGGTTATTGGATTAGCTCTTGGGAATTAAAGATGCGACGTGTTGATCTTATTGCAAAATATTCTGTAAACGTCGACCTGACATTTTCACTGCTCGTGCATCTTTTTACCAGAAATTCTTGTGAAATATCGCATCCAGATAAACAAGAATTCTCAATCCTTCAACAAATTAAATTCAATTTATCTTATCGCGCTTTATCCTTTTTGGATAAACTGTAGTGTATTCAGTGGAATATCGTATATTTATATATTAATCACTTTCAATAGTTTTCTGTCATGAGAAATTACTTAAATAATCAACAAATAAATGTGCATCTTACAGTGCAAGATACATCATGATTGATGAAACTGAAGACTTAAGTATTTGATCAAAAAACATTATAAACATCAAATATATTTTGATAAATCTGTATTAGTACGAAAAAACCCATATAATTGTTATAACAAAAATGATATTTTAATAACATATGTAACTGTACAATTTTTTATTTACATCATGGATATTGATCACCGCAGTAATATCTAATATAAATATAGTATTTTATCTATCTAGTATGAGAAGACTCGTATGATTGGTGCACTTAACGGCTCGTGTACCAAACTGCACGTTCGTGTCTTATATTCATTCGTACTAGTTAAAAACAACAGTTTTTGTAAAAAATGCTCAAAGAAAAGGCCGTCCGGCCTTTTTTTACGAGAGATGGCACTATAAACCTGCCACAAAAATATTTTTTAATAGGTTTCCTCCTTCCTTGAAAATGTTTTAGATGCCTATGACGTCATTATCTTAAATTGTTAAATAATTTTATAGTTATTTGTTCCAAAAATATTCTTTGCGCATTTGTTACAAAAATTACGCATAGGTATATTTTGAAACTTTACAAGCATATAAAATGAAATTATTGAGGCTCATTTATTCTGCTGAATTGATATCAAATGATATTTTTTACCTGATTCCATGACACCGAACATGCGAGATTGTAAAAGTAATTAGTCAAAGTGAATAATGAAAATCACGGTATGCAACAGCCGTCAGTGCGTTTCGCTGTAATCGAAGAAATCTTTTAATTAATTTATCCATCAACACAGGTGGAGTGAGATGAGCATCATTTCTTATGTATAATTCCTTAACTCCTTGACATTTGAAGCAAGAGTCAATGCCAGATGCGGGGAACTGGTTCGAAAAGATGTTACTTCTTTCGATCGAGAGTATAATAATTCCAACAAGTCTCAATGTCAGCTAGATCCGCCATAAAGCTGCAGCTGTAATCGCGTGTCTTTCCGTTCTTACAGATGTTGAACTATAGGAATTCTGACAATCACGCATAATGGAAATAATTAATTAGGATAAGACAGCTAAGAATCTTTGTGCTTCAAACCATTTTTAAAAATAAATTATCTACCATCCTTATATTTTTCATAAATAATTTAAGGTTTGATTGCAACTTGCAATTAAGAGCAAGTTTAGTATACATGATTTAGTATGAAAACTGAGATTTTTTAAATTCAGTATAAATATTAGGTAAATGATTATACAATTGCTCATGTGACTTCATTACAATTGATGACCCGGTTTTTAAGGGGGTGGGAGGGATGAGACTGGAAGAGAATTAAAGAGAGTAATTCGGAATACTTTGGCTCCTCGTCAGAAATCGCTCGGTTACCCTTGAGCTACATAGCGATCTGGCAGAAGGCACAAGTTATAAATGCGCGTTGCTTACTTTATGCATGACTTGTATGTATAACCCTCGCATATAGTCAGTAATATAAATCTAGCTGAGCATTACACGTCAATGAAAAATTGGAGGAATTATTTGTATAAATTTGTGCGTAGCTGTCTTATGGCTTACATGTGGATTACAGCTATATAATTATAATGTATCGGTTACACCAGCGATTTATCAGACGTTTAATCACATTGCATTTACACAAAATTTCAGTATCTTCCTTTCTTTTTTGTCTTGTAATAATGAATTAACGATTATTAGAATCTTTGGACTAGTATCATTTTTTAACGTTATATATGAAATATCCGGTAAATACATGCAGTAAATGAGTGCACCTCGGATGCTGTTAAACTTTTATGTATTCACTGGATATTTTTTAATGATAAACAATCTTAAACGATTTTTTAAATCTCTTGTTAATTAATATATTTCGTTATTTTTTTACTTCTCTTCGTAACGGTTCATTTGTATAGCATGTTTTTCGGTATGATACGTTTTGAATATTTGACTCAGAATGGGCGAAGCTTCTGGATCGTTAATCCACATATTGGTTGCTGATGGTGATTCCAAAATTGACAAATAGGCTGAAACAATAGTTTTGAAAAATTAGTTATTAGTCTTCTTAATTGCTGTATTTTTATACAGCTCAAGCTTACCAAGTAACATTTTAGGATTAGTGAGACTGAGCTGTATGTGAGGATTACTGATAATAGCTTTATAAATTGGATTATCTGTATCCAGACCATCATCCAAATCTTGTAAACCAGGCCTTCGTTCCCCAAGCAGCCATTCACACTGAAATATTTGGATTGTTTGAATAGGTATTTCATGAGATATTAAAAATAATAACTATTTAGAACAGGATCAAATCATCTAATGAAAAATTAAGATTAATATATTTACAGCATGGTATTCGTGATTCCCAGTAATCTTCAGAGCTTCAGTAACCTTATTTTCCTCAAATCCCATATCCTTGAAATATTGCGCTAATCTCGGATTTGGTTTGAATTCAAGCTTTTTATATTGATGTAAACTATCCAAAAGAAGTGACACTGCGTGCATTAGATTCGGTTCTTTCTTCGCAGTTTGATTGCCTAATTATAAATATTAGTGTAATTATAATATACATTTAAATATTAAAAACAGAAATTAATAGTGTTAATAACTTTTCAGATTTCTCTCGCTGTTACCTCCTTTGAAAAAGTCTAGATAACTTTTAAGAGATTTTTTCTTCCCAAATGTACTTGTTGAACTACCAGAAGCCTGAGCTGTACTTGGCCCAGGTGCATAAGTATCAAGCTCGTTATCAATAGGTGGAAATTCGAAATCATCCTCATCTGTATCATCCTGATGTTCTATCAGCCATTCTAATGCATCTGATGTATTCATTCTGTGTTAAGGATCCAGGATGTTTCGGTTAGAAAATATTTAAGATATTGTATATTCTCTGGTATCCATTTCATTGGATATATATCAAATGCTAATTTTCTCTAAAGATGTTTACTCACTTTCTTAGACAGAGTGCTTTAAGAACTTTCTTCTCTGAAAAACCCATGTCCATAAGATGTTTAATCGCTTTGGGATCGGATGGGGGTTTACATCTGGCTTTTAACTTTTCCTTAATAATTTCATAGTATTTTCCTGCTTCTGGACTGTTTGATAGAATTCTAGCTGATGCTTGTACAAGAGTTATTAATATTTTACGAATTTCATTCTGAAACTACAACATTATTATATAATAGTAACATTACATTGATCAATTTTATATGAATTTGTCAGAATAGTTACATCAGCAGTACATTCAATTGTTGGCATTGGACGTGGAGGATTTAACAGTGGCATATCTCTTGTCAATTGTAATATTATTTGCTCGTCTGGCCCTCTTAGGGCTTCCTCAGAGAAATTGTCTTTTGTCAATACTGGACGAATTTCCATCAATATTAACTCATCTGCAATCGTTGGTTTCAGGTAATATTTGTTATTTGAAAATATGTTTCCTTTCTGCGAGAACAAGTCAAATAGAAATTGCACTATTTCATTATAAAACTGACCAGATTCTTTAATATTCTGATCGCTGGCTGTTTGGTCATCAATGAGTTGCACAAACCTGGTTCCATGAATCAATCGGAATTGTGATGCATTTTTTGAAGTATCTTGGTTATAAAAGTGCTTTAAAGCGATTTGCTTGATCTTGTCAATCGTAAAACCAGGTCTAATATTAATACTCAATAAATTTCCATCCAAACTAAAAATTCACACATTAGTTTCAGTATTATAATAAATTTAATATATAGAAATTATATGAATACAAAAATTTGTTGACAACCTGATGATACTGATAGGAAAACTTTCAAAAATTGCAGATGATATGCCAAGCATCATGTCTTTATAATTTTTCAAATTCATGAAACTAGCTGAACCTTCTTTTCTGATATTCCTGATATTTTTCACTCCAAAACTTATTGCAGTATACACAATTATATCCAAAGAACCTGTAGTGTTAATAAACAGCTTTGCATTAAGACGATTCCTTATAAATATGCGGAGGAGAGAGCTAAGTATTAATAGAAAACTTCATGCAGTTTTACAAATATTTTATAGAATTACGAAACTATCGTATCATATACCCATAACATTTTATCAATCACTCGTATTTTCAATAATGGAGTCTCAATGCATTTTTTTCACGTATATACACAGGAATATTCACTTTATACAAGAATAATTTAACTAATTTTTTATGGAAAACTAAACATAAATCCATCACCAATTATACTTACATACATACATGTAAAATCTAATGAAAGACACGCATTTTAAAATTGGCGATGTTCAGATCCTGACGTTTAGTAAAAATCCCGATACACGTTTTTGTTATGTCGCGGCCTAGTGACAAATAGCGCCCTTGCAACTCCGAGCAGCAAGTTTAAATGCAAAATTAAAGTGGGACCAGTAAATATGTGTAAGGTCCAAGCCGTGAGCTAAGCGAGACTTATCATAATCTCCAGTATGTGCGTACATAGGTATATGCAATATGTATCAAAGTTAGACCTCCGGTCTTGAAGAGTGCACTAGAAAGTATATCGTAAAGTAAATAAGATAGTAGTTTGAGTTATAATTATTCAGATTATAATCCGAACCAAATAAGGGTAATTAATAGTACTCTCTAGTAACAATTGCATTATTATTTCTGAAACCTTTTATTACAACATAATAATAAGTCAAGCTCAATCTAGAGGATTGCACACCATTAAAGTGTGCTCATTAGAGCTTTGGTGGCTAACAAACCCACCTCGCCAGATTCACGCAGTCGAATCTGCCGCGGAAACAACAGTGGTGACGATCAGGATGTCACCAGATGTCACAGTTTGTTGCATAAACAATATTCAATGAAAATAAACCAAATTTTAGTACATGTTGTTGATGTAAACTTTAGTCCAAATTTTACAATTAATTATATCTGATTATGTCGAACTAATATTAATGAACCTTCTGTGTAAAAAAAAAGCATTTGCTCTAGGGGCTCTAGGAATATTGATGTACTAAATCACAACTTCACATTGGTGTATTCCGTAAATATATGTATTTAGTGAGTGGTAGTGACAGGCAGTGATAGAAGAATGGGACAATTAGATAATTTAAGAATATATTGAGATGATCTATTTGTGTTGATAATATACGTAGTGTAATGATTATATCGTTATATTAAGCTTAGGCATTTTTCTATATTTTTATAAGAAGCATATAAGGCAAGTTAAAGAATTCGACACTATTGATAAACAAACAGACCCCACCTTATCAAGTATACTTATAACAATAATCTGATTAATTTGTTGATTACTAGTTAGAAGTTCAAAATGATCGAAGGGTCTGGTTCAGGTGAACTTCAGCAATTAGTGCAAGAGGAGGAAAGTGAAGAGCTGCCTAATCATGGAGGAGAAGGTACACCTCCCTCTACACCTGCCCGATCTGGCAGTCGATTTGGTAGAAATGAAGCCCGCAACTTCCATGCACCTGTAAGAATATTTCCTTTTAAGAAACATTTGCACATTGTTGTATCTTTTATAATTGTTAATTACTAACTCTTACATTCTTTAGCAACAGAGTCAATCACTGTGGGAAACCAATGTACCAACTTCTCCGATAATTAGTAAAGGAAGCTCTGGACATGTAACCACCAGTCAGGGTTCCATGGTGTCTGGAAAAGCTGTAAATTCATCTGGTCATGGTGTTAATCAATCACGGCTTATTTACCTAAATGAAAAAGATAAGGATAAGCAAAGGTCATCCAGAATAGATCCTCCAAGATCAAACAGACAGCACAGAGGTAGTGTGCAGCACTTTGCATCCTATAAGCTCATTATACTATACACACTGTATGCTCTATTCAAAATATGAGTTGCACTCGCATTATTTAGTTGATATTATTTAATTACTATTTAACCAATTCTTTGTCAATGCATCATATACTGTCTATTAGTGTCTATAGTATTTTCCTTATATGTACGTTTTTCTTTCCCTAAATTTTCTTTTGTTAAGTGGAATTTTTTGTTTGTTTTGCATCGGCGTTGCTATATAAAGTCGTGGCGCCATGCAAACACCATTGCTTTTTGTCAGAGGTACCTGATGTTCGGCGCATGGAGCAGGCATTATTACAGTTATTGGAAGATTTTCATAGTGGTAACTTGCGAGCCTTTGGTACGTATTTAAACTTTTGTAATTATATAATGTAATTATATACTTGAAACACAATGAACTAATGACAAAAACTTAGGCAAAGACTGCAGTATGGAACAAATGACAGAAATAAGAGAGCAACAGGAACGTCTCGCTCGTCTTCATTTTGAACTAGGCCAAAAACAAGAAGCTGGAATTAACGTTGGCAACGAACAATCTGGTTTACGACAGTCCAGTGCCAATATGCGCCACTTACTTCATCGTCTTCAACAACTTAGTGTTTGTATAGAAAAGTTACATAGTAAATGATCATAGTCTATGTAAGTTTTTACTAATTTTGGCATCTTTTGTTGTATACTGAATAATTTACTACTATTACTCTTTGAAATGTTTTAATGGCACAATAGCAGGTGTGAAAACAGTTACTGAAAGTTTAACAGGATGATCCTATTACTGTGTGAAAAAGTAATGAGCAGATTCAAGCGATTAATATTTATTTGGGAAAAGATTACACCTACAGCGTACTATAAGAATGTGTTCAATAAATAACAAAATAATAAACTATTACATCATATGCATTCCAAGTAATAAATATGCAATTTCCGATTCTGTAAAATGTTTTATTATATTGCGCAGTATAATTATCTATCGTTAACAGTTATCAGATACAAAAGTTCTAATTAATGAGTTTCTTTTTTTATTTCAAATGTCCGTATATGTGTTTACGTATCGATATATCGACTTTCGAGTATAAAATCGATACACTCGAAGTAGTCCAGTCAGACAGTTGATAGCATTATGTTTATGGTTGAGCAGATTTGAAAATATTTTGTAACGAATTGAACGGTTTTTAAACTATTAGTAAAGTAATTAGTAAATATGCCTTATGCAAATCAGCCTTCTGTTCATATCTCGGATTTAACCGAGGAAAACGTTAAGTTCCAGGTCGAAGATACTGAATTAAGGTATTTTAACCTGTATTTGTATTTCATGAATAGTGCGTTTTATTAATATAACGTGATATTAAACTAATTTCTTACAGTGTAGCAAATAGCATGAGACGTGTTTTCATTGCTGAAACTCCAACTATGGCTATTGATTGGATTCAGCTTGAAGCAAATTCTACTGTTTTGAGTGATGAGTTCTTAGCTCATCGAATTGGCATGATACCTTTGATTAGCGACGAGGTATGTTTAAATAATTTTAAAAATTTTGTTTACGGCCTAGTATTATACTTCATATGTTTAATCTATTTGTGCATATATGTTTTAGGTTGTAGATAGAATTCAATACACAAGAGATTGTCAGTGTATGGATTTCTGTCCCGAATGCAGTGTAGAGTTTACGTTAGATGTAAAATGTGCAGAGGATCAAACTAGACATGTAACAACTGCAGACTTCAAGTCTAGTGACCCTAGAGTTCTTCCTGTTACATCCAGACATCGAGAGGATGATGCTAGTGAATATGGAGAAACTGATGGTAAACGTAACCCTTAATTTAGAAAAATCATACTATCATATGTGACAGATAATAAAAATAAAAAATTTTTCACCTAGAAATACTAATAGTGAAGCTACGCAAAGGACAAGAATTAAAATTAAGAGCATATGCTAAGAAGGGGTTTGGCAAAGAACATGCAAAATGGAATCCTACTGCGGGTGTGAGCTTTGAATATGATCCAGACAACGCAATGCGTCATACACTGTTTCCAAAACCAGATGAATGGCCTAAATCTGAATACAGTGAATTGGAAGAAGACCAATGTAAGTTATAGAGGTCTACTCATTCATCATTAACAAATATATTCATATGTAATTCCCCCTCAGATGAAGCACCTTTCAACTGGGAAGCTAAGCCAAACAAATATTACTTCAATGTTGAAAGCAGCGGTGCGCTGAAACCTGAAAATATAGTAATGATGGGAATCGCATCATTGAAGAATAAGCTCTCCAACTTGCAAACACAATTGAGTCATGAAGTACAAAGTGACGCATTGAGCATTCATCATTAGGACCTGAACTCTTAAATTTTTAATGATACCACACCAATACATGCTTCTAAATAAAATTATATATATTATGAAAATTCTTCTGTACCTTTTATTAAATGTCAATGTATGAATAATAAAAGTGGTATATGAAAAATCGAATTTGAAATATTTTCTATCATTTTGGAGTACAGTTAGTAACTTTACTCTTACACATTGGCCATGAAATCCTTCTCCCGCCGAAACTAGAAACTTTTTCAGATCAGTTGCCTCTTTGGTATTATCTAGTAAACATTTATTTTTCGGATCGGTCGAATATTTGTATTATATGAGTTCATAAATAATGTATTTGTAATCAACATTTTGTGGATTTATCGGATGATCCAACTGCATTTTGTGAAACTCCGAACCAGATGAGGATGATAGTGTAGTGATAGGATGGACATACAATCTCTGAACAAATATCTGACAACTAACAATGTACATTAAACAGGTATTTTTTTCTTGAAATTTTACATTTTTGCTCATCTTTATGCAATTTACTTTCATCAGAATTACCTAAATCAATCAAGTATCATAATGTGCTTTGCCTCATTTCTTTATCTGTAAATGGGTGTTAGGTTAGTTTATGAAAAGCTACAATACCAAGCTTTACACAGAGACAGTACGTTTCAATTTTACTTTTTGTCAAATTAGCATTTTGTGCGAGAATAATAATAATAGATAATTATAAATAATAATACTTTCTTGTACATATTCATTGATGTGTACATGTAACAATTGTTTTGTTGACGTACATGAGCATGATTCCAGTTTTTATTTATATCATAATTCTTTATTGCTAGGTCATTATTCAGGGCTTTAAGTCCTATCGTGAACAAACTGTTGTGGAGCCTTTTGATCCTCGCCATAATGTAGTAGGTATGTATTCAAATAAGTGTCGATTTATAAATTTCAAGACATAAGCTATACGGATTATTTTGTTTCATTGTTCACATTTTGATTTTAGTTGGCAGAAATGGGTCTGGGAAGAGTAACTTCTTCTATGCTATTCAATTCGTTTTGAGCGATGAATTTTCTCACTTGAGACCAGAACAACGTCAAGCTTTGTTGCATGAGGGTACAGGACCACGTGTTATTTCTGCTCATGTAGAAATAATATTTGATAATGCAGATGGAAGGCTGCCGGTAACTATTTATTAGTACTTCGTTATAATCATTAAATCCATATTAGAACTCTAAGCCAACAATCAGAAATTTTACTAGACAAAGGATCCCATAATTAGATTTATTTTATTGAACATAAGAAAAATTGCTCACCATTTCATTTAGGTAGTCACTGATCCTAACCATATACAATATATTTCTTAGATTGATAAAGATGAAGTATTCCTAAGGAGAGTGATTGGTTCAAAAAAAGATCAGTACTTTCTAAACAAGAAAATTGTGACAAGAAGTGACGTTATGAATCTGCTTGAATCCGCTGGATTCTCCAGATCAAATCCTTACTACATCGTTAAGCAGGGAAAGGTTCGTAACGTTAAATTCTTTTATCTTGGCAAGATAAACTTTACAATACACATTCGATAGATCAACCAAATGGCTACGGCTCCTGATTCCCAACGATTGAAACTTCTTCGAGAAGTAGCAGGCACTAGAGTATATGACGACAGGCGAGAAGAATCAAAATCAATATTAAAAGAAACAGAAGGAAAACTTGAAAAGATTGAAGATTTTTTACGCACTATTGGTAAGTCTCAAATATTTTGATAGCGTAAAAGAACTTCTAGGAGAGAAATATAATCCCTGAATCCAAAACAGAGGAACGTTTAAAGACCCTGGAAGAGGAGAAAGAAGAATTGAAAGAATATCAACAATGGGACAAACAACGTCGTTGTTTGGAATACACGATACACGAACGCGAGCTAAAAGAAAATCGAAGAAAGTTAGAGGATTTAGAAATGTCCCGGGCGAACAGCGGTGCAGAACAAGCAAGACTGGGTGCCGAAGCAAAAACAGCACAAGAAATGGTGCGTGCAGCAACGAAACGCCTAAAAGAAGCAAAGAAAGAAGTTTCCACAGCTAAGGAAGAACGCGATACCCTCACGTATGTAAAAAATGCACGAAGAAAACATTTAGTTTAACATAATGACTCATTCCCACCAAATCTTCCAGAGCCGAACAACAGCAATTGCTCAAAGAGAAAACCAAACTCACCCTAACAATCAATGATTTACTCGAAGAAGTAAAGGGTGACAATGACAGCAGGAAACGTGCTCAGCAAGAACTTGAAAAGCTGAAGTCGAACATAGCGGCTCGTGAACAAGAACTTGAAGCTATCAAGCCGGAAGTAAATATCCACAAGTTAACCCACAACTTCCAGAAACCCTGGTAGCAAAAATAAATTCCGTCTTTTTTTTCAGTATGAAGAAATGAAACGTGTAGAGGAGGAATGCACGAGAGAGCTGGCATTAAAAGAACAAAAACGAAAGGAACTATATGCCAAGCAAGGACGTGGTAGCCAGTTTACCAGCAGGGTACATAATTGTCAATACTAACTATACTACATGAGAAAAACAAATTAACAAATATTTTTCGAAGTTTGCAAGATTAACAATCATTTGTCATAGGATGAAAGGGACAATTGGATAAAAAATGAATTGAGGCAGCTTACCAAACAGATAAAAGATAAAGAAGAGCATCAGAAGAAGATCAGCGAAGATCTCAAGAAAGATGCCGAAAAACAAATTGCCTTAGAAAAGAAAATAGAAGAACATACCCGCGAAATGGAACGTCAAAGAGCATCTATAGATGATCACAATAAACAATATTATGAGCTCACTAAATCCAAGGACCAGTGTCAAGCCACGCGCAAGGAGCAGTAAGTCTTAACGCTTTTTATCTTATAGCTTTTTAATAAAACAAACAATAATATTCTTCTATTGCAGATACCGACAAGAGAGTGTCTTGCAGCTCAATCTCTCAAGTTTGAAGGAAGATTTAGCAAAGGCAGATCAGAGTCTGCGGTCCATGGCTGGAAAACCAATTCTCAATGGCAGAGACAGTGTGCGTAAGGTGTTAGATACTTTCCGGTAAATATTAATTCAGTTTTTATTAATTTACATGAACTAATGAACCCAGTACAATTAATTATTGTAATTACACAGCGAACGACGCGACATGGCTCACGAAGTGAGCAGCTACTATGGTCCAGTGATTGAAAACTTTGACTGTGACAAGAGCGTCTACATGGCTGTAGAAGTGACAGCAGGAAATCGATTGTTCCACCATATAGTAGAGACAGACAAGTTTGGTACAAAGATACTTAAAGAGATGAACAATCAACGTTTACCAGGAGAAGTTACGTTTATGCCTCTGAATCGTTTACACGTCAAAGCCATAGACTACCCACAAACTGGCGACGCCATTCCCATGATATCACGCTTGAACTATGATCCTAAATACGATAGAGCACTTAGGTAATAAAAATAATATCAAATTAACATTTAAAGTAAAGCAAAAAAACACTTTAATACATGTATTTCTTGTACATTCAGGTATATATTTGGTAAAACTCTGATATGCCGTAATTTGGAGGCTGCCACGAGCTTAGCACGTACTTCCGGTCTGGATTGCGTGACTCTTGAAGGCGATCAAGTCTCCTCCAAGGGATCCTTAACTGGTGGATACTTCAATACACTGCGCTCTCGTCTAGAGATTCAAAAAACTAGATCTGAATTAATGGCGCAGATAAACACTCTGGAGACACAATTGGCCAGCTTGAAAGAGGAGATCAGAACAGCTGATCAGAGTATTAGCTCATACGTTAGTGAGATGCAACGTACTGAGACTAAGAACAGCAAGGCCAAGTTAGTTTTATCATAGAATTATATACAGCAATACGCGTTAACTTTATGATACTAAGTTATGTTAAATGATGTGTAAACGTAAACGGTCCTAATGAATTTGTAATATTCTTTCAGAGATATATACGACAAGATGAAAGCTGAGATACGTTTAATGAAGGAGGAACTCAGCGCGATAGAAAGATATCGTACACCTAAAGAAAGAAGCCTTGCACAGTGTACATCTAATTTGGAAGCAATGCGAGCTACAAAGGAAGGTTTGGAAAGTGAATTACATCAGGAACTAATGGAACAATTGTCTGTGACTGATCAGCACCAGGTAAGTTTGTGAAATTAAAAGGGTTGAAGATTTCTGTATGGCAATGAAAAAGAATGTATTATAAATTAATTAAAAATAACCATTAGGTCGATACCCTGAACGATAAGATCAGGAGCTTGACTAAAGAGAACAAGGAGGCCTTTGCCAAAAGAATGCGACTTGAGGCTGAGAAAAATAAATTAGAAAATTTATTAACTAACAATCTAGTTCGTCGTAAGGACGAATTGATTCAGGCTTTACAAGAAATATCAGTGGAGGATCGTCAGAGACAGCTTGAATCCTCGAAAGCTCAGCTGGCTGATATAGAGAAGCGACTTGTCAAAGTGAATGCCGATTTTAAGGCGCAGAACGAGGCGGTCAATATAGCTACGAAGAAAGTAAGTAATCGAAAAATCGTGTATCAGTGACGGTGATTTATAAACGTTCCTTTCTGCTTTCAGCAAAGAGCAGAATCGGCTGAGGTGGAGAAATGGAAAATGAAGGAGAAAGAAGCTCAAGAAAAAATCGATGCCGATGCTAAAGATTTAGAAAAGTTAGCCAGTAAACTTAACATTCTTGAACAGAAAATTGTGGAGTGCACGCAAAAAATCACTGAACTTGGCGCGTTACCAAGTCATGAAATATATTCGAAATTCAATGGTATGAGTACAAAACAGTTATTCCGTGAAATGGAAAAGGCTAATAATCATTTAAAAAAATACAGGTAATGTATACAAGTATAAACTATAATAATAAATCATGTGCGCTCCTCCATTACTATTCGGTCCTTTCTCGTGCTTTTAGCCATGTAAACAAGAAAGCATTGGATCAATTCATGTCGTTCAGTGATCAGAAAGAAAAATTAGTAAAACGTAAAGAAGAATTGGACCGTGGCGATGAGAAGATCAAGGAACTGATGTCTGTATTAGAACAAAGAAAATGTGAAGCGATCCAATTTACATTTAAACAAGTACGTTGAATGACGTTATTAAATAATACAATTTTTCCCAATCAATATTAACTACTTCCCACTGTACCAGGTGAGCAAATACTTCAGTGAAGTCTTCAAGAAGTTAGTGCCATCAGGACATGCTCAGCTAGTTATGAGAACAGCCGACGGTGAGGAGGGTGATGATGGATCTTCAGAAGCAGCAGATTCCGATCGTTTTATTGGCGTTGGTATTCGAGTGTCTTTCACTGGTCACAGAGCTGAAATGCGCGAAATGAATCAATTGTCCGGTGGTCAAAAATCTCTGGTTGCCCTGGCCTTGATCTTCGCTATACAAAAGTGCGATCCTGCGCCATTTTATCTTTTTGATGAAATTGATCAAGCACTTGATGCTCAGCACAGAAAGGCTGTGGCTGATATGATTCACGAATTGAGTTCAGATGCACAATTTATCACAACAACATTCAGGTAAAAATTTATTTAACGTTGAAAATGATTTATATCTTATTGTTTTTCTTTTTTTTTTTTTTTTTTGTATTTAGACCTGAATTACTGCAACATGCGAATAAATTTTATGGTGTCAAATTCCGCAACAAGGTGTCTCATGTCGAATGCGTGACGCGTGAAGAAGCAGCTGATTTTGTCGAAGATGACACGACGCACGGATAAAATGGATTTATGTTTAAGAACGTTATATGGATTAAAGAGTATTGCGCGAATCATTTTTCGAAGCGCAATCGAACTGTTTCTATTATAATAGTAAGAGAATCTGTTCTTCATTTTGTTTTAGAATATTCTTACTGAACAGAATTTTATTCAAGCGTAGTTGTAAGATCTGCTAACGTTAAGCACGGGGTAAGGGGATTGGCGTTTGAAAAGTTCAGCTTATTCAATATCTTAGATTTTTTTTACAAACGGACTTTCTTTTTCTTACTACCATTAACTGTGCAGTGATTCTTTCAATGAGTTTCAAACGACTCTGATAAGTGAATAACGTGATTTGGTCATTTGAAATATCAACAAAATTTTGTTGTCATTTGATACATTCAGAAAACTTCATTAGTACCAATGCTGTAAATTGATGCAAATTATTATCCATATATTGAATGTGAATGAAATATTCATTATATATATTTCTTTTTCCATTGCAAAACTAGAAAAAAAATATATAATTACACTTTGACTTGAATCGAAATTGATCCAAGCAAATTTCGCGTAGACACTCAACCTCATAAATGGTTAAAATGTCATAGTATCTAAAACTTACGGTATTTTTTTTTTCTATAAGTTATCTATAAATAAAATTTTAATCATAAACAAAATCCGTTGGTCCTTTATTTTTTATTCGTGCTTCGTACGATATTATTGTGGTTATTTAATTTGTTTCAACGATCATAATATAATATAAACTATTTTAATAACATTAGTCTCAATGAGTTTAATGGAACTAACGGAAGTGAACTAAAATTTATTTTCACTATAAGCACGTCATCCTTTCACGAGTACATACTGCACTTGTTATACCGAAAGCTTAAAAGCACATTATTAAGCCTAAGAAGTACAAATAAAACATAAAGAATCAAACATGACTTCTATTGAAAATGAAATACAGTTGGTATCAAAATCATTTAAATGCTTTGTAATTGGATTTCAGTATGTCAATATTGTGCAACAAATGCATACAGATCGATAACACTCGTAGCTTTCTAATCTACTTCTCTTTACGATGACTGGTCAAGCTGTCATGCATACTCGTTACCACAGCTTCTACCAACTCTGGAATGACAACACCATTGACATCTATGAAATTAGCGACGGATTTCGTGACGGATGTTTCATTAAGTGTTACAGAAGATTCAGTTTTAACAGATAATACAAGATTGTATTTGTCATCATACTTTTTTAAATAGGAACTTGCTTCCCATACAAGGTCAGGATCAAATCCTGCTGGATCTCTGTAAATAAAGGAAAATTAATACCATAAGTTGCTATGTTTTATGAATGTTTATCAATCCAGAATGATGATAACAATTTATCCTATACTAGGATTAATTACCTTTGAATAGCAACTGTAAATATTCCTTTCTCTTTATATGTAGTGTAGAGCGTCAGAATACCCATAAGGATAAAATAAATTGAGACACAACCAACAAGCACGGGTTTAGAAGTAGGAAAAGGGTATAAATAATCCCAAAGCAATGCAACTGTAGCTACGCCGACTGCAACTCCACAGAGAGCCAATCTTCCATCTAATAAAGAAAAGTTCTCTATGTAATTGTATTTCCTTATTAAAACATCTCTGACTGCATCATCCAATGCATTCTTCACAGCGGAACCATCCCATTTATTGACTTTAATCACCTGTGGACATACGAATGAGATCAATTATAAAGCCTTTTAAATAACATTAATCTATAGACGATTTTTATTATCTTGTATACAGTCTAAGTGAAATAAAATGATTAAGATAATCAAATGCATTGCCAAATACAAATATAAAATATATACACATATGGGTTAACCTACACAATGTTATCCGACACACAAAAATTATGATATTTCAGTTCAAAGTTAAATCCTTAAATACAAAACATGCTTACAGGAGTCTCATTTTCCTTCTGTTCCTTTTTTGAAGCCATTTCGAACATAATCCAGTGAATAAAACACAATATTCTGTCATTCACTGCACACATTCAGTACACGTCAAATACTTGGCGTATACCGGTTGGCTCCAATGGGGAACCTGACCTGCAAAGCTCATGGTAGGTGTCGTACTAGTCACTAGGTCTCAAAGTAGCGGGATATTCAAACAATTTATAAAAATCAGTTTTACGTTCTTTTTAGTAAAATATTCTAACTACGGCAAGTTTATCAAATCGAATTAGATGATTCTCATACTTTTTATAAACTAAAAATAGATGGGTACATCCAATAAGAAAACTGATAAAACAATGCACATAACATAAAAATAAAAAAAATATAATCTTTACATTTATCTGATGAAATCATTAAACAGGTAGTATTTAAAACAAGCAAAACAGATAATGAAGACTCTAAAATTGGAGTTTATTAAAGAAAAGTACAGTAGTTTCTCATCAAGTGCGAACCACTAGAGTCCTTCTAGAGGAACTCTACGAACCACCGGGGTGTAAGTAGCTCTATGGGAAGAAATGCGCACCTAACGAATTACCGCCACCTCACCTTTCGTAAATACTTATACCTCCCTGTAATGAAGATAAGCTGCCATTTAAGTCGGAGAATCCATCTCAGCGCTCACTTAGCGAGAGGCTACTATTCTGATAATACTTTCAACTTCATAATTTACTTTTTTTTTAAATTCGGGATTCAGATAATTTACTTAATCCGCCTTGCTTTAATATATTTTGGAAAAAAACTTATAATTATAAATTATGATTCTGCAAACAAGTAAATTTTTTAAAATCAATTGAACAATTTTCCAATGGACAGCCAAGGTATTTTTTTTAAGATTGGAAAATAGGAAAGAATGACGATAATAGAAATGGAAAATGTATTTTCGAAAGCATCTAAAATTACTGTTGGCTTTTATAGAAAATGTCTTTGACTCTAATATTACTACTTTCATCGTATATCATTGTTCTTGCAGAGACCTGTGCTTGACCTTTGTCCTACAAAGCAACGATTATGTAAATAATATTGAAATCAGCAGAATTAAAATGTTTATCTTTACATAAAATGGCACCACATTGATTACTCGGTATTTCGCTTCCTACAGATATTACATAATTCATCAATTGCTTTACTACCAAGATAAATTATATAGCATAAGCTTTGAGAATATAGGGAAATAAATAACATATTTTGTACTGAATTAAAAATAATTTTAATTTTAATTACCACATTTTTAGCAATACTTGTAAAGATAGTATTCACTGTTCTGTTAATTTTATAAAAATCCTCCATTTTATGTGTACTTCTATAATTCTAAATATAACTTTAGTTGCTGCCTGGACTTGCATACTCATTATCATTTTTACTGACTGCCCTAGGCAGAATATATTTTCAATAGGCTGTTTTACACAGAATTTATTGATATTCCTTGTACGTTCTATGCTGGTCATCTAGTTCCAAATCTCGTTATTCAATAAAAAATAAATAAAAGTGAATAACAAATGGAACTACATCTCAGAACATTCTTTTCCAATTCGATGTGAAGTTTATAATGTATCTAATATTTAGCACGTAATGCTTGTTGATTAATATCGATGTCTGCTTCAATAGGAAGTCAATTTTTCAGCTGTTTCTTCAAATTTTCAGCAATTTTATCCATAAACTCGAAAGTCTCAAGATAATCAGATCTGGTTACTTTATCCATTCCTTTGATACAAATCGCTAGATCCTTAGTCATAAATCCAGACTCAATTGTGTCGACACATACTTTCTCGAGAGTCTCTGCGAACTTCTTTAGTTCAGCATTATTATCCAACTTAGCGCGATGAAGTAATCCTTGAGTCCAGGCAAATATTGAAGCAATCGGATTAGTAGAGGTTTCCTTGCCCTGCTGGTACTGGCGATAATGACGTGTAACAGTACCATGAGCAGCCTCCGCTTCAACAGTACGGCCATCCGGACAGATGAGAACAGATGTCATAAGACCAAGAGATCCATAACCCTGAGCTACTGAATCAGACTGAACATCACCGTCATAATTTTTGCAAGCCCATACGAATCCACCTTCAGATTTCATAGCGTAAGCGACCATATCATCTATGAGACGATGCTCATACCAGATATTCTTTGCTTCAAACTGTTTCTTATACTCTGCTTCGTAAATCTCTTGGAAGATGTCTTTAAATCTTCCATCATATTTCTTCAGAATAGTATTCTTTGTGGAGAGATACAGTGGGTAGTTACGTGATAGGGCATATTGGAGTGAGCTGTGTGCAAATGCCTGAATACTTTCATCAGTGTTGAACTGAGCTTGTGCAATGCCCGCTCCCTTAAACTCATGAACGGTATGTTGAATCTTTTCACCATTTGTACCAACCCATGATATTTCAAGTTTACCAGCACCAGGCACTAAGAAATCGGTGGCCTTGTACTGATCTCCATGGGCATGACGGCCTATAATGATTGGTTTATTCCAGCCTGTTACTAGTCGTGGAATGTTCTTGCAGATAATAGCTTCACGGAATACAGTACCACCTAAGATATTCCTAATTGTTCCATTCGGACTCTTCCACATTTGCTTCAGTTTGAATTCTTCTACTCTCTTTTCATCAGGAGTGATTGTTGCACACTTAATACCAACATTATAACGCTTTATAGCTTCAGCGCAATCCACCGTTACTTTATCATTAGTAGCATCTCTGTTTTCAATTCCCAAATCATATATATGAAGGTCAATGTCAAGATACGGAAGAATAAGCTTTTCTTTGATAGAGTCCCAAATGATTCTAGTCATTTCATCTCCAAGGATGTCGACAACAGGTCCTGCCTGTTTAAAGAAAGAAAATGCATATTATACAATTATTCAAAACTGCAACTAAACATAAATATATAATCTGCTAATAGATATTTTTGCATAAGTGCAAATCAACAATTAAGATAGTTACTATGTTAATTAAAAGTAAAGATTAACATTTGCCTTAAAAATATGTTGTTTAGCATGATATAGCACATCTTTGACAAAAATTTCAATATTATTGACCTTATACTTACAGAGATATATGGAATTAAAATAGTCAAAATTGCACTATATAGATATACTTCATATATTAAAAAAGCTATATTCTTCTCTGAGATATCTTAGCTTTTAGATGCCAAAAGTTGGATGAAATTTTTAAAAGACATTTCTTTTACACCAAATATGACAATGATAATTTCTTAATAAAAAATCTTGGAATTTTTAAATTGATTTTCTACTACGTTATTTAAATGTGTTGTGAAAATTAAAAATTGATTAATCTCTGTCCTTCCATTTGTCTCAAAAAGAATACCTTACATAGGAAATATTTTTGTAATGAACAATATAAAGGATATTGACTGAAATAAGAATGATATTATTATGCTGTTGCCGATGCCTCCTTAAGAAGTAAATAACACTTACAATTTTCAAGATACAAATTCAACACCAGCATATATGAAGTAGTAGTTGATAACGAACCAAAATATTATAGGGTTCAAAGTCCTGATTAACTTTTTAAAATTACAATATAACTACTCACAATCCATTTTCCAGAGAAGAAAATAGATCTTACCAAGTATCACAAGAAATTCTTAAAACTAAAATATTAAATAACTAGAATCCATAAATATTTATATAATACACAATATCGTGACATTATCCAGATCTGTCAAAGATCCATTCTGTACATTCACCTTAATCTTAGCCATAGCTGCAGCAGAGATACTAAAGTTTCTGATGTGGAGATGAGGAATTTGATTATAATCGTTGGATGTGGAGATCGATAAGCCAGAACGCAGGAGCGACAATAAACCAGCACCGTTAGAACCGTCGAACTGAAGTCGAGTCGCTGCTCTGATCACATTCGTGTTCGCTCTAAAGAACCGGTGGGACACGAACATGGCGACGAGTAGACTCTTCTGTCTCCGTTTCTCTTTACCTCCTACAGTTCAGATCCTCTTTCTCCAGTATTGGTTCCCCTCTCTTTTACACTTTCTGACCTCTCCTGTTTTCGCAGGGTTACAAAATAATTTCTCTCACTGAGTATAGTGCACTTGTTGCTAGTTGCTGCTTTGCCGCTTGTTAATCCGTTGACACTCCTCAGAACTTCTCTTTCACAGTCACCCAGACTCCACGTTTACTTCACAACTAAAGTAGAAATCACTCGACAATATGGCATGTTAAAGACGTCCTAAATAATCCAAATAAAGAGGAGTGATATCAGAAAACGCAATTCACAACAGTATATGCAATAAGTATATAGATATACTACAAGCAAAGAGTAAGAGAAACAATTCTTACTAGACTTTGGAGTTTGGAACTTTGATCTCGAATTGATATAGTGTAAACTGATGATTTGTCTTTTCCAGTTTATTAGGTACTGTTACAGAACCTTAAAGACAACGACATATATCCTTATCAGCTATCTGAAAGCATCATAAAACTGGCACGGAGTAGTCACTATATTGAACCATATACATAAATTAAAGAGCCTCCGACATAGTCATTCAATGGTTGATATTCTGTAGTGTTACATAACTTCGCTTCTTCCTGTTAAACAACATTCCAAGAGAGGAGTTTGTGTATTTCAATTGCAAGGCTATTCTTGCCTTATTTTATTTCGTGAAGAATTATATAGTCCATTTGCAAAATAGTCAGACTTTGTAGCTATTGTGTAATTTCATGTATGTAACTTACCTGCTTAAAATTTTAAATAAAACTAGATAGAAACTCATAGATTTTATGCGATTCTATCTGGTTTTTGATTCTACATTTATTTTTCTATTTCTTTTCATCTGATGTGTAATCAGGGATATATCCTTGAGTAGAAAATTATGATATTGCCCTTATCTAAATGACATTTAGTATTTTATGGGTGAAAGCAAATGATCATGTGACATCCATCCAAATCCGTAATCGCAAGAATAATTTCCCCGATAAATATTCGTGTTTTATAGAAATTAACTTTAAACGGTATTATTTTATCTATCGACAGCCGTTATCCAATTGATAAGAAACTTAATAATTCTTAGTAGCAACGACCTGATCTTCTTTCTCTTCTTTCCTTAATCAGTTTAACCCTCTTTAGGGGATATGTAGCAGCATAAACTGAGATTACACTATTCTCTTCTTTTGCGAATGACCCGATCTAAGTGGCAATAGTGAAGGAAGAGTGATTAATCTTGCATCACAGGAATATAATGAATACTTTTGCTTACAAGAAAGAAAAGAAACCTTGAGGTAGTAGTATAGAGTTTGATTGAAGTTTAATCAAGAGTCATATATAATTTGTTAAATTCCATGCAAATAATAATTGTTCTCATAAATAAATTATATCGCTTACTGAACGTGCAAACCTGCATCGTCATTTCTTCCGTAGCGTTTACGGATGGCGAAAAAAGCACGCGAAAGAGAGAAACAGCCGCCGCATGCCTTCCGTTTAACAATACTAATAATTTTTTAATAAGTGTATAGTAAATAATGTTCATTTTTTTACAGTAAACGCCTTAGATATCAAGCTTTCTGGAAATATATTTTAATGCATAGCATAACTTGCTAGCTTTTCTGCTAGTTTTTGCAAAAATTAAAGACATCTGACTAAATACAAACATTTATGTTTCACTACCTTAATGTTGCTCAACTCTAATAATTAAGATCTTTTAACTGTGATAAAATTCTGTTTTGAGTCAATAGATATAGCTGATTAAATTCTTTCGAGTATTAAAAAATGTAGGATCCAGTTTACAGCATAATTCTACCACACTACCTTAAATTGTTGGTGCACTTAATAATTTTTATTTTTAAAATATTATATATCTATTGACATGTTAATTTTATAGACTTAAGATATTATTGAAATATATATATCTCATGAGATTGGTAGTAACAGAGTCAAAGATGAGGCATATTATTTTCTAATTTTTAATTTACTAAAAATTAGAACAAGCAATACATATAGTTTGGCATTGTCTTTTGAATGCATGTAATGGACATAAAATATATCAACAATAAATGATTTTAGTAGATATATTATATTAATGCATGTAATTGGCAAGCTTGCATAAAAAGATAAGATAAAAGTATATAATGATAATAGTGCAAGTATTGTAAGAGCTTTGCTATTTCTTTTGATATACAGAGTTATTCAGGTCAAATGTACCATTTGAAATCAGTTTGTCTATTTGATTTCTATGCTAAAACCAAATTCAGTTGGTGTGTTTGAACTGAATAACTCTGTAAAACAGATAACAGTTGTTTCACCATCATTAATCTATGAATTAGAGGACCATGATTGCCTTCTTCAGATAAAATCGGTAATGATAACTTATCTTCATTAAATATTTGTGCTACAGGATTTCGCAGTACTTTCTAATATGTGCACATGTATATCGCAATACGTGATACAAGTGTTTCCTTCAAGCACAAAACAAACTCCAAAGGAAAGTTAAATTTTCCAACGGTTATATTTTACATGACGAAACGTTTTTGATATTTCATAAAAAAAAGTATCATAAACTCCATAACCTTACATATACATATTAATCTGCATTATCGATACATGTATAATTCATTTTCACATTTAATTATTATATTTGATTGATACAGGATCACTCTTTATACGATACATTAATGATATTAATGAAAGATGAGCAAATTTGATTAAATATTAAAAATAAATCCCTTTCATGAATGCTGTCCATTGCACTGCAGCACTTGTACCATCTAGCGTGTGCAATCAGTATCAAAATGTATTTTATAGTAATATAAATTAAGTTTATCGACTGATGTGCAGTTAGGAGTACAGCTTCAACTAATTTTTTTTTTTTTTTCTATGAAATTGGTCTTTTTAGTAGTGGTAGGCTGACTAATTAAAAAATGTAGTTGATCAATTTTTCGAAAATCAAAAATAAAATTTCACAATGCCTAATCTTTTGGCGACCACGAATAAAAGTATCAGAAATTTTTGTAGCGAATGGTTTTATTGAAAAATATAAATATCCAAACTAAATATTTTGTATATAAATATTCATTATACATATATACATTTGTGTATAAATATTCTGTGGGGATTACCACATAAGAGTGTGAAGTTAGCTACATTATTCTTTATTTCTTGACATGGAAGGGCTGAATCAAGCAGAATTTTGTGGCGGTCGTAAATAATGAAATTGAATGATTTGATGGAATCCAATGGAATCTCACATGAGTGAATATCTTCTGGTCGGTCGGGAGCCTGCTTGCCTACTAATGCATTATTCAAATTAAGGTTCAAGGGAAACTAGCCTTGATAGTATCAAAGATGAGTGGGGAGATGCACAACGCTCCGGTCTTAGGTGATACCAAAAGCATGGCGCTAAATCGTAGCGGCGAGTCCGGGAGTAGGATTTCGTGATCATCGCCTCTGTCGATGTTACAGATTTCGCGTAGCCGCGCGGGTCATGATCATCGTTCCAGCCGATATTGCAGTCAGCGAAAATGAATGGATTGTTCGGTGGTGGGGAACAAGTTGCCGCCCCTCACAAACCGTTCTTGACAAACAGGCGGAATAGCAAGGTCTTCCGTATAACCGAACCCTAAACATTTGTATGGACGTAATGCGCAAACAAATGTGTATATTCAAATAAATTTCAAAGTTATAAAAAATGCATAGAAATATTGGTTTTCACTCTTTACCTCTTATCATGCCGAAAATGAACATTAAAAAATGAATGGGGAAATTCGCTGGTAAATGAAACGACCGAGAACAGTTTAAAGAGAAATTTTGAAATATCATAGATAAATATCTATAGAAAATTTAATTTAGAATTAAACGAGCATCGTGGCTGAGTCAATAACCTGTCAAGATATTCCGCTGCTGGTTACGGGTTCGATCCCCCATGAAGAACTCTTTTTCCATCTTTTTTTTTCATTTTACTACAAAAATTGTTAAAGGTTCCTCTCTTTTAACCTTTCTAGGTTGCCCAAACTTTATTTTAAGTTTATATATATTTTTTTTAATTTTATCTATGACAGAATCGACTAATATTTTAAACGCCCGCTCGTGCCGCGCGACCGGCGACTCGAGCGATTGCGGGTCCTCTCTCGCTGAGGCGTCTGCTATTGCTATTACTGCTACCGCTGGTTCTTATAATCTTATAAATA